GCCTACGGCTAATGCCTACAGAGCTTCAGTCTAAGGTTCGAACCTTAGGTCCTATAAGATTGTGATTTTCAACTAACCCTCAAAACCTGTGAGGGTTTGATCGTTTAACTCGATACCCCGACCCCCAGCCAGTGCCTCTGCAAGGGTCCTTACTCGATTGAAGCATTCGACTCACGACCAATGTTAGCTGAGAAAAATCAAGGAGGGCTTAAGGAGAAAAAGCCCCAAATCTCCTCAATAATAGGAAGATTTATCGAAATCTGTAATAGATTTCCAGAAATTTGGGCATAACTTGCCGATGGAAATTGAATCCTCAAAAATCCCATATGCCAAATTGACCGAAAGTTGAAATCGGGGCGATAGCCCGGAGCATCAACCCAAACCAAAAAGGTGGGACCAACCACAGAAAATCCCTAAACCAATCTCCTTGTCATGAGCAACTGTTCAGGAATTAGGTTACGGCTAGGAAGAAGAAAGAAAAAGGGGAAGATGAAGAACAGTAAAGGAAAATGATGAAAAAAATAAAAAATAAAAAATAAAGAGGTCAAGCACTCACCGTTTTGGGCTACTGTGATTACAAAAGGAACATTTGAGCTGTTGAAACTTGAAGTGTTCAAAGCTGCAGGCTCCGCTTGCAGCAAATGGGGAACTTGTTGATCTTGAACTCATACTAAAAGAAGCAGGAGAGAAGTTGCAGATACTTCTTTTGAAAAAAGGTGACTAAAGGGTCTCTCTCTTGAGGAGTTTTACTGGAGTACCAAAAAGAAAATGCTAAAAGGAAAGAGGGTTTTCCAGAAATGGTGGTGAGTGGAAGAGTTGAAGAAGGTGAAAGGAAGAGCCTTTGTAGAAAATGCGACGCCAAGGGTACCTTATACCTCGATTTGTGCTAAAAAAGACGACGGGATTAAGATGGTTGCTCCTAGTTTTACCAAACTGCCCCCACTGAATTATTGAAAGACAGTATGACCTGAGGATTTTACTCGGTTGCGTCCGATATGTCTTGAAAAGATAGGGATATAAGGATTGTGTTTGAAATTTGAAACACGAACCGACGACATGTGAATGTCTAGAAAAAAAAATAAGGAAAAAAGAGAACAATAAGGAAAGAGAGGAGCCAACTAATTTCGCTCAAGTCAAGGCCAGTTCCCGGAAGCGAATCAGTTCCATGACCCTGGTGAGCTTTCTCTTCATTGAGCTCAGGGCCTCCTTCGCATGCTTGGCTTCTCCTTAATTGAAGTCTGGCGTGTTCCGATAATGCGCCACCTCCCGGCGTAGCTGAGACACCACCTCCCGAAGATGAGCAATCTCCTGGAACTTAGGGTCCTTGATGAGGCCTGCCTCCAATGCTGCCACAAGAACATCTTCCTCTTCCTCAGAGGAGCTTCTCATAGACTTCGAGTTTGTGGGACGTTAGTGGCTACCCTCCCCTTTGGCAGCAATCGGGGGAAGGATGTTACCAAAATGTTCTTCATTGCCCAAAATTGGGGCAGTGCGGTGAGGATTGAGACGGGTTTCCAAGTGACGTGGGAACTTGGGGATTGCCATGGTTAAAGATATGGGACACGAGATATTCGCTTTCTATCCCAGATTTATAAACGTTTTGTTAGGGATCCGAAGGGTTGTTTCTTGGGAACATGAGGAAATTATGTCGGGTACACCGAAAATTGAATACCCGGACGGCTATATGCGTTTTGATAAATGCAGGGGTTTTCGAGATGGGGAACGTTTGAGAAGATTTCAAGGCATGCACAAGGAGTAATGACGACAAGACCACCCAAAACATTGGTCATTACGTGTTCTAGGGATCTTTCCCACACACGCGAACGCCTAGGGCGGTTTTGTTGGGTGTGTTTTCAGTCACATACGAGGACCAGATGCATTTTGATATTGATATGATAGCCAAGCTTCATATAAGGCTTCAAGAAATACCCCATGCGACACAAATATGTAATATGATTAAGATCCGTCATATGAAAGGCTTGATATGCCTAAAGGAGTCTTGACTCGTTGGTTAGTCCTTAAAAATCCTAACCCATGTCTGATAATGCCAAAAGCCCATCAGCTAGACATATTCAAGGTTAACATAAATGGTGAAACCATCTCCTTTTGAGACAAGTTATAGGATATATATACTCCTAAGGCTCAATGTACACCTATCCATATGATACATGGAGGGACAAATACGGTTGACTATTAGCATCCATCGTTGGTTATGCGCATGTGCCATAACTTACGACCAATGATAAGAGATCATGAAGACGTCTCTATTTGAGACGGAACTCCATAATGCATATGTTCCCTGGCAAAAAATGTCCCACCACTGGATACTGGAGGAATTCTGGGTGAGATGTGACTCTAAAAAGATCCATTGTATGTTGAAATAATGGGGTTTTGACTGATGGAGCTTAAAGGAAACCTTGTCATAATATATTGAGGTGAATTCCTAAATATATTAACGCCTCATGTGGCTTAAGGTCCAAGAGTGATATGACTTAGGCGATATTTGGACCTGGCTTAACCCATGTCCATATCCACCGTCGGTTCGGATATGCCCTAATTGACATCCCGAAGCTCAATGCCTTCAATACCAAATTGAGACTCTCAGGAAACCATGTTGAGGCGTTGTGACCCTCTTCTTGAAGTTTCGTATTAGTCGGAGGTTGGATAGCTCGACAGCTGGAGCTTTAAAGCCCCATGTCTCGTGGATTCCAGACATAACAACTTTCGACTATTGATATTGTAATTTCTCCTTAATATGAGGAATTTCCCAAGAAATCAAGATTGTTGGATCCTTAATCCTTTAAAAGGTGTGGAAATGTTCTATGCAAGAAGAAGGAAGTATATTCAATGGGGGGAACAACAAGGTGAGCCAACGAGTAATAAAAAGGGAGGATATGTCCTGGTCTTTCTCATCAGACAACTTGATTGATCTGCGAGATTGCATATTTAAAATACAAAAGAGAGATGGTTGGCAACATCAGATGGGCGTGAATTTTAATTTGCGAATGGTTAAGGGTTGACCACATAGGATAATCACAAATTCAAAGTTTGCGCGTGAATGAGATCGGGATTAAGAGATTTACATGCGGTTTTAAAACTCGCGTGAAGCTTTGAAGTTTAAATTCAAATCCATGAAATATGTTCATTCGAACTAAAATATCATATCACAAATTCAAATTCACGTAGAAGATAAGGACAAAATGAAGATTCAGCGTGAAGGTGAGGAAGAAGATAAGTATTAAGGAATCAACGATGGAGATAATATCGGGTGGTTATCAAAAAAAGATTGAGCGTTATCATCTGAAGATGGTTATAAAAGCCATGTGAATAGATGAGAAAGGGGGTTCGCATATTTTTTCTGGAGATAGGTACTCTTTGAGAGCACATATCTCATATGTTGATCAAATATTGAGATAGAGTGAGGGAAGAGAGAGAAAAGAGAAAAATAAATCGATCCCGTGCTTTGAGATTGAGGCCCGTTTTCTGAAAGGGGCAAGGACTTAGGATTAGCATCCCTGCTATAGATCAGGTATATGGGCTGATATCCCATCCGATGTTATCTCCTTTTATATGTCTATACGTCTTGTTATCTCAGAAACGAATGTATAGATCTTAAGGCTATAATCAAGCATAGTTGGACTTACTTGATTGTTATCGCATTATTTGGTCATGTAAATTGTAACAGGGGATTAAACTCTTGGAATTATTATGTTCCCAGTATATAACATAAAAAAACCTGTGTTTTCTATGATATGGAATGCATGGGTGAATTTGGCCCCGAATGTGTTGTCCTCTGGTAAAGCATTTAATTGGAGTCTTAGAATGTTTTAAACTATGTTGTTTTTTTAAAACATCAAATTCCCCTTTTTCATACGACAATGCAATATTCGGAGTGTCCAGCTATCAAGGCAATGAGAGGCCACCACGAACGAACCTTAGAAGGTAGAATAAACCATTTGACAATGGGCCATGAAGGGAATGGGTATAGAGAGATATTATACCCTCTGGAAAGCAAAATAGAAGATTTCGAACCTGAACCCACATGATAGAAGAGCTCATTTGAGGTTTCCTAGATCTCCTTGATCATCCTAGAAGGTATTATCGAAGCCAAAACCCAAAACAGGCAAAGAACTGAAGCTATATCCAGAAAAGTACATGTGAGTGAAACCAGACTTTCTGGACCTGGTGTATATTAAATTATTGATGAAGGTTGTGGGTAACAAAAGAACCAAAAGGGAAACACAGTCATGTTGGTTAGGGCACTTTAAGTTCCATAAGCTCGAGGACACGCTTGTGCCCAAAATTGGGAGAGCCTTAGCCTTGAAGTATGTAGCCATTCTGAAAATCAAGCCGGAGGAAGCTTCTTGTTGATAGAAGATGCCCATGTTACTTATCAAGAGAAATAAAGTACTACGTATGTGCATGTGCCTTTTGCACATATGCCTAGTGAAGCTGAAGGAGATGCTGATCAATTGGCTAAAGGAGGTGAGGATATGGATGCTGTATTAGTGTGGTTGAGAAACCTTATTCCTAATATGAAGATCTTTCATTTACTTTAGACAACATTTTATCAAATGGAGTCACCATTTATAGAAAGAGGTAAGTTTAAGTCATAGAATCTATAGAAATTCATCTAGGAATCCCTCTGAATGGCGGTATATTGACCATGAGAAATCTCCACAATCAAAAAAGTGGGATTTATGGAAATCTCCTCTTAAGATGGATAAACAAAACAGTGTCGTGTATTGTTGAACCAGATATCTCAGCCTCTCAATGGCAAATTAAACTGTCGCTTTCAGAAACCTGATATTCCATTGCCGTCTTCCTGATTTCTGTCAGTTGGCAATATATCATTGAATGTTTAAAGTAATCAAATATTTTTTTTTTCATCTTGTTAGTGGCTGAGTTATCTACTTGTTGGGGATGATAAGACAAAAATATTGGAATGTTGATCTTCCGCATTATTTTGGTCAGATCTTTAAATTCCCCTGTATTTGCAGATTGAACATTACCTTCAAATAGTGAAGACTGAGGTGGTATCACGGAAGAAAAGTAAAGAATTTAAGTTGTTAGAGGAGTACGAATACACTGCTCATAGCAGTTTGGTGCACAGTCCAGATATCCCTGTCGCTAAGTTCCATTTTGAGCTCTCACCCATGCAGGTATCATATTACTAAGACAAGCAAGTTAATGACCAATGCACCCTGCGTGCACGCGCACACACACTGATTGTGCCCATGCTTGAATTGCTTGTATGATCCTCTTTAACTGCTTAGGTCCTGGTGACTGAAAATCCAAGGTCATTTTCACATTTCATCACAAATGTCTGTGCAATTATTGGTGGTGTTTTCACGGTTAGTATCCATGCTTAACTGACTTTTATTTTTGTTGATTATTGTGTTATTACATATTCCTTGTAAGTTCTGTTGTATCATTTCCATTTTATATGATAATGTTTTTGTTCGGTTTTAATGTGTGCTTAGGTTGCCGGTATCTTGGATTCAATTTTGCAAAATACAATCCGGTTAGTGAAGAAAGTTGAACTAGGAAAGCAGTTCTGACCAGAAGAGGTGATTCTTTCGTTATAAGGTCTAATCTAATTTTACTATATTAATCATGGATTAGGGGTGTTGCAGCCATCATCTGTATGTTGCGCCCCTAGAGCAGAAAACATGTCTCGAGTATAGTGGATCAATATATGAGTTCCTCATTGCAAGTGTTATTTCTTCTCATGTTTTCTTTCTCTTTCTTTTTGCTGCTTTTTACATTCTCTTCTTATTTTGTTATTTTCAAAAGAAAAAAAAAAAAGGAACTTATGCAGCTTGCTACGAGTTATCAGAATGCTCATTTCTGGTAAAATCTAAAAAGAGAAAAGAAAGGACAGAAAGCACGAACTTTTCATTGTCCAAGACACTCCCACCAGCTGCTTCTCCTGAAAACACAAGCTAGTGCCAGGTAGCAGAAATTTGGATTAATAAGTGAGAAAATGTTGGCATTTCAAACTTCAAGAGTTTCAAAATGAAATAAAGTATTTCAAAATGAAATTAAGTACAAAAAAGAAGAGTGCGTACCTGTACACTAACTCCATTGGGCAAAACAATCCACTTGTGAGTATTTTCTTGATCTAAAATCTTGGCATCTGCTTTAGAATTATCATAAGTATAAAGTAGATTTTGAATACTTAGGTCTAACTGTTAAAAAATTGGACATTCAATCTCACATGGTTAGGTCTTTTAAACATCTAAAAAATAATGTTTATATTGGAAATTTTTTAAGGCCCTAAAAGAAGAAATAAAAATAGCTAAACTTAGCCATTTAAAGAATAAAAGTTCTGCCTGCCTTAAATTTGTGGAATCAGCCGAATGGTTCTCTACTGAAACTTTGGTTGGTGAATAAAAAATGGGATGCGGTTAGCATGCGACCAGCCCGCATATTGTAGAAATGCAGGCTTGGCAATACATATATTTTTTAAATATACTTTGATCTTAATTTTTAGAGTATATATAATCTTCAACACGGAGATCATGAATATGAAAAAAAAATTGAAAATTAGAAATGATAATTATATTAATAAAACATTTGGACCCGCAGTTAACAATTGTTTTTAGATGGACCACCTATTTGCATCCATCTTTAAGATGAAGATGGATGCCTTATACCTCTAGATCGTATATTGTAGAAATGCCGGTCCATCTTTAAGATGAAGATGGATGCTTTATACCTCTATGTCGTATATTGTAGAAGTGCTGTCCAGTCGGCATGAAACAATTGTTTCTAAAAATCCATCTGAATGATAACTTTTCTTGAATATATATATTTTTTAAGTGGAAAATTGTAAAGGTGGAAATAAGACTCAAAATCTTAGAGAAAGTTGGGTTGTATAGAAAATGCGAAGAGCGCATAAATTATGCTCTTGTGCGAGCATACCGTACTCCCTTGGGCAAAATATCCGCTACAGGGATTTTCTTTGAATTCAAAATTTTGAAATTTACATACCTAAGATGAGTGCTGTGAAAGAATAAAAATTGCATTTTGGGTTCTTCAACTTCCAAAAATTGGACTATTCTTGTAAAATATTGGATTATACCCAGGTATAGAACGGCTCCTTACGCTCTTTAGTTTTGGGAAAATATGGTGCAGCTTGCCTAATTTTTAAACTTATTTCACGGTAGTTTTTTTCGGAAAAATTTTCCCTGGATGCATTTCTATATTTGCACCCTCCTAGGAATAAAGCATTCAGGTGGCCCATTTAAAAACCAAATGATTTCTTTGTAAAATCATTATTCTTAATTTTTAAATTCATGTTCTCCATATTAGAGATTATATGTCCTTAAAAATTAAGTCAAAAATCCATCTCAAAAATATACTTTTAAGAGGGGATTCATTTCTACATGGACTTAGAAAATTTTTATCCAAGGTTTTTTTCTTTCCAATCAGCATTAAATATCCCTCGAAAATATATTCTTAAGAGGGGACTCATTTTTACATGGACTCAGGAACTTTATCCAAGTTTTCTTTCCAAATCAGCATTAAATATCCCGTCATCAAGTTACCCCCTTATCACCTTGTTTTCTTTGGGATACGATCTCATTCCTTCCTTATTTATCACTTTTTTACATAAATATCGACATAAACAAATTTTTTATATCACATGAGGTAAAAAAGGGATGGGAGGACCACGTCCTTATGTGGCACAACAGAAATTGTTCACGTTAAATTTCTGTGATAAAAGGGAAGAGAGGGGATGAAGAGGTATATCAATAATTTTAGCGGAAATTCAATGCTTAGAGAGAAATGTTTGGAGGGGCTACCATAAAATAACTCTAGAAGTTGGGGACGTATCATATTTATTATTATTATTATTATTATTATTTTATCCCACACATATACAGGATGAGTGTAGTTGAGATGAGGATGTTGAGATGGATGAGTCACAAAAAAATAAAAGATAGAATTCAAAATGAATACATTTGAGGGAACTTAGATATGGCTTCAATAGGTGATAAGATGAAAGAAAGGCGAGTTATCCATATACAAAGTAGACCTAATATAGTACCGATTAGAATGTGCGATTTAGTCTAAGTGGAAGGCTATAAAAGAGCAAAGAGAAGGCTTAAAAAAATATAGATGGAAGTAGTGAGAAAATATATGATGATATTGTCTTACTGAAGTATGGCCCTTGATATAGCAAAATGTTGAAACATGATTCGTGTAGCTAGCCCCAAATAGTTGAGATAAGGCTCAGATGATGATGGTAATTATTATTATATTTTCGAATCTTGCGATCTTTCAATAGACTCAGTGTTTAAAAAAATGGATCGATGAAGCGAATGGTCTACCCTAAATCCCGTCCGAATTGGCTGGATCAACAATTCAGATCGTTCTCGAATCGTTTAGATAAGTGATCCAAAAAAAAAAAACAGAAGGTTTAAGGGGGAACTAAATTGGAACCCATATCATTTTGAAACTGGTTCGATCCCGACCGATTCGACATCCGAATCGACGACCCTGATCGGAAATCGCCGGATTTTAAAATAAAAATTAGAATCAAGCATTGTACATCCATTACGTTAAAAGGTTAAAGCCTTTAAGACCTCACAAACCAAACGTCTTTTTTCATATACATGTGTGTGACATATTAGCAGAAATTTATCAAATCATTACTACACATCAAAATACATTTATTACTATGCGGCCTCCAAGGAGTAAAATCCGGAGACATGGAAGTAAGAAAAAAAAAGAAGGCACTTACAAACCATAACCACAAACTCTCACACCAATTTCTCATCACCACCCATCAAAAACAATCATTTAACAAAATACGGAAGAGAGAGGGGTTAAAAGATAAGGAAAAGTATAGATGACCCAATTGCCCCTGCCAATCCTAGGAATGTCTCAGCCAAAAAACTGGCAACATTTTTGTTTGGGGACTCAGTCTCAGTGGTGGGAGCCATGGTTGGGCTAAGAATAGGAGCACTGGAGTTGGGGCCAGCAGGAGCAGGAGGAGAAGCGGCGAGGGGAGGAGGCGAGGTCGTAGCCGGAGCAGGAGGAGAAGCCGCTAGGGGAGGCGAGGCGAGAGGAGCAGCCAACTTGGCGGTCCTGTCGGCCATTACAATCACCAGTAGCTTCTCATTTTTTTGGCAGTTTTCCTTGACCCCGCTGATGAAATAGTAAGGGCCTGAGTGATTGAACTTAAAAGAAGTGTGCCCATCTTTGAATGGAGGAGCAATTGGTGAGCCAGTATTGCAATTTGAGTAATCATCCTTGGTCACTTGGAGCACTGAGTCCTTCTCCAGGGAGTAAACAAAAACTAGCAGCATATATAATATTGTTAAATTTACACACACACACACACACATATATATATATATATATATATATAGAGAGAGAGAGAGAGAGTAGTAGTGCATACAGATGCATCTATAGTAGTAGTAGGTAGGTAAGGTCGACTACCTTACTTAAATTTATACTAGTAGTATTAATTAAGTTTAGTA